GGAGGGCGCTCTGGTCGGGAGTCTCCCGAAGCCAGAGGAGACCTCGGAAGCCGCCTCACGCGGCGGTCACCACAGCATGGGACAGAGGATGGGGGTCCTAGGCTGCGCCGCCCTCTTCCGGGCTCTCCTGGGCTCGCGCGTCCTCCCGGCGGGCTCGCGCTTCCACCGCCCGGGCTTCCAGAGCGGCTGCCCCGGGACCGCCCCGCGCTGCGGTCCCCTGAGGGTGGGGGCCCGGGACAGGAGGGCGTGGGCGGGGCCGGTTGCTGGGGGCGGAGCTGGGCGGCTGGGCAATGGCCGGGTTCTAGTCGTGGAGCGGGGGGAGCAGGCGGGGCTAGAGACACTGGCTCCGCCCTGGGGCGTGGCCTGGGCCAGGCCGCCTTCGGGTTCCTCCCTTCCGCCCGGCGTTCGCCTGCTGCTTCCATCTTCCGCCCGGCGCCGGCTTTCGGTACGACCGTCGCCGCTTCCCATCGTTGCGCTGCCTCTGCGGCGCCCGAGCCCGCAATGTCGGGCCCCAACGGGGACTTGGGCATGCCAGTGGAGGCGGCCACGGAAGGGGAGGACGGCGGTTTCGAGGAAGCAGGTGACCCACGGGAGCGTTGAAGCCACCTTTGCTTTTTCAGGCGTGCTTCCTGGCGGGGTGGGGAGATCTGGCGGGGATGGGAGCTCGGAAGGGACAGAAGAGGCCCCCTCAACCGCCCCGGGCGGGCCGCGTAATCCTAGAGCTGTACTGGAGCTGCAAAGCGAGCACGGGAGAACGGGTTCCCCCATGGGAACCGCAGCCTTGGGGAACTGGGTAACCAGCTCCGTTTTACAGGCGTGGAAACTGAGGCAGTTTAGTGATGCACATGCGTTTGGGATTTGCGGCAGCCACTTCCTTCATCAGAGAGGGGAGGAATCCAGCCCGTTGCCTAGGCTTAGCAGAGGGGTGGGCTCCCCGCTCTGCTGAGTCAGCACCCTGGGCACCGCTTTCCTGGTGACCCGCTCTCCCAAGCAGCCTGTAATGTGCACAGCACTGCGGGAAGGCGGGAGGACCCTCGGCTTCCCATCATCTTCTTGAGCCTCAGTTTCCCCATCTAATATAGGAATAATGTTAGGATTAAGGGAAAAATGGAATGCAAACTACTTCTGAGATTCCAGCATGCATAGTGTTAAGTGGTTACGCAGAATTTAGTAAAAGTAGGGTAAGGATGGATATGCTTTTTGGTTTCGCTAACAACTTTATTGAGCTATAACTCACATCCTGTGCAGTTTACTCGTTTAAATTGTATGGTCTCGTGCCCTGTGGTATATTTAGAGTTCTGCATCCATCCCACAATAGTTTTGGTACCATTTTCACCGTCCACAGTCTGCTTTGGTATCTTGTGTTTTTTCATATTGACGAAAAGCAGGGCCTTTGTACATGCTATATCCGCAGCCCCACTCCACCACCAGCACTTAGTTTGCTTGTTTGTTTTTTGAGACGGGGCTTTCTAAGTCTTTAAATTGCCCGTGCTGGATATTAAGTTTGCAATCCTCCTGCCTCAGCCTCTCAGAGTGCTGGGCTTATAGGCATGTACCATCACATCCAGCTCCAGCCCCTTCATCTTCTGAGACAAGGTCTCCCTAAATTGACCAGACAAGCTGCAAACTTGTGATCCTCCTGCCTCAGTCCCCCTGTAACCAGGATTGCAGATGGGTGTCCTACCTCCTGGCCAGAATCTGCTGTTAATAGACGTAGAAGACCCCCACTGGGGCCAAAGGGCAGGCTAGAAGGTTTGCATGGTTGATGCTGGGGGGCATGGTAGGAACACGGGGAAGGGCCTCCCGAGCTGTCACACAGAGGATACTGGCAGATCCCCAGGATGGTGGGAAGGTGTCCCAGGCAAAGGCAAAGGCTTGGAACTGGGAAGTACCTTTGACACAGATAAAGCCAGGGCTGAGTGGTGTGCAGACGCCTCTCTGCCCCACCTTTTGTCCCGGTTTGTGTCTCTGATGTGAAATGTTGGTCATAATGACCAACAGACTGTCTGAATGGTTGGTATATTTGAATCCTCAGTTCTCAACCATTTCCAGAAAGGAACTACAGTAACTCCTGGGGTGGAACAGAGCTGGAGCTCAAACTCAGGAGCCACTAATCCCCAAGTCTGTTTTTAGTTCTGCCATCAACTAGCCTCGAAGACCTGCACAAGTTTCTTCCTTCTTAGGTCACAGTTTCCCCACTTGTACCAACGGAGGGGCAGACTTGCAGGACTGTCCCTGTCTGGGCCCTCTCTAGGCAATGTTGCCCTCCTCCAGAATGCACAGTCACACCCACATCCCAGACACCACCAGCCGCTTCCCCTCTGGTCCCATGCTGGCAGTCTCACGTCTCTGACTCATGTGCTGGCACAGACCTGGGTCCCGCAGTGGGCACAGGCCCAGGCCTTGGGGCTTAAGGGATACTGTGTTGCTGAGAGAAGCAGGTCATAAATGGTGGCAGAGGAGGAAGTGATAGTTGCAAGGGGAGACCTGGAGGATTTCTTGGAGGCTTTGTGGTGAGCTGATCCTGGAAGGGCTGTTGCACTGAGGCATTCTGGCTGGCAGGGACAGTTGAACAGAGGCAGGGAGGCTGGACAATCAGAGAACTTCGTTCATTACACACTCCTTCCTTCATTCAACACTTATGGGAGGAGAGCACTGGAGTCAGCAGCAAACACGAGATCAGTTACTTCATTGGGTCGAGGAGGAGCACATGAAAAATCACAGCACACAGACCCCACTGAGGGAGAGCCAGCAAGGGGCCAGCACGACCGGGGTCACAAGAGAGGCTGATCTGGTACAGGGAAGTCCCCCAGTGACGACAACCATACTGAGACTTGAAGGACGAGTGGGCCTTATCCAGGAAGAGGAGGAGAGAGGACCCACTGCATTCGGCACAGGCAACAAACGGCACATTCAAGGGCCTGAGATAGGCAAAGGCAGGGGGAAGAGGAAAAGCAAAGCTCAGAAGTTGAGACCACAGAGGGAAGCAGGGCCTGGCTCCCATGCTGGGGCTTGGGGGAGTCTGCTGGGTGCTTTATCCTGGAGCAGAGGGAGCCAGAGAAGGCTGGAGAATGAGTTCTGCCATGAACAGTGGCCTTGATGCTAGGCTCGGGAACTGGCTGTGGCCTCCCCGCAGCCGCTGAAGGACTTGCAGAGGAGGCTTGGCATCCACCAGCCTCCCAGGCTGCTCACTGCACCAAGGTTTCTTTCTTCATCCTTTCTCCACCCACTCTCCAGATGGTGCCAGTGAGGCTTGGGAAGGAGTAGGTAGTTGCCCAAAGTTCTGCTGGAGGACAGTGGGATGTGAGGGTATCTTTGAGCCCTGAGGTGACACCGGACTTGATTCTGATTCCCCTTCCTCCAGAGTACGCCGCCATCAACTCCATGTTGGACCAGATCAACTCCTGCTTGGACCACCTGGAAGAGAAGAATGACCACCTCCACGCCCGTCTGCAGGAGCTGCTGGAGTCCAACCGGCAAACACGCCTCGAGTTCCAGCAGCAGCTCGGGGAGGCAACCAATGATGCCAACTCCTAGGCTATGGGAGCCCTCAGGCCAGGCCCCAACCCTATGTCCCTGAGCCAGGCTCTGCCTGGGCACTCACCTGCTGGCCTTGACACCCTCTTGAGGGTTGGCCTCCGGTCCCCTGGTGGGTCTGCCTGCCTGTGCAAGCCCCCACTGCCCAGCATCCTTCCTGAGGCCAGATGTGGGCTGGTCACCCGCCCACCAGTCTGCCCATCTCTCAGGCACGCCCCACTCTGTCCAGGATCAAGCATCCACATTAAACAGGTCTCCCACACCACTGTGCCTCTTTCTGCTATTTGCTGGGACCACCAAATGGGGTCGTCAAGGCGTCCAGGCCCTGACCACACATTGGTGGCACCAGCTGTACCCAGAGAGGCCAAGTGCTGGCTGAGAGCTGCCTGGGTACCCCCTCCCCTATATATCCAGACAGAAGTGCTGGTGGGCAGTGCACCCCCAAACTACCTTCTCTTATTGGATATTAAGTAAAACACCTATTACGTCAGTCTGCAGACTGCTAAAAGCATTAATAGATCTGGACCCAGACAGGATGGGCACAAAGAGCTTCCACTTTCAGATTTTGAGGCAGCTTAAGCACTGAAGGGATGCTGGGGACTTGGGGGCCCGAGCAGACATCTTGCTAGGGGTTTTAGCTGGGGGGAGGGTGAGGCAGCCATGGCCGCTGCTGGAGGTGAACAGCAGTGTGTTACAGGTGTTGATCTCAGGCTGGCAGATGGGGCTAGGACGATCAGTCACCCCATGCTTCTGGACTTGATTCTGGATCTACACAGGTCAGGGTCTCATCTCAGACAGCATTGGACATGCTGCGTGACTCTGTGGGACATACTTGGCCTCTCTGGGTGCCAAGGTCTTTCACAGAGACATGCCATGCAGCCTTGGCACTGCCCTCCCACTCAGTTTCCAAGCTGGCCAGCAGCTGGGCTGAGCTGGCTGTCCCTCTGAGGGTCTAAAAGAGCAAACAGCACTACAAGGCCAACACAGTGCGACCCCACTGGTTGACGTTGTCTGCACCTGGCACTGACCAAGAACTGAGAACCAGAGCATCTGAGCAGCAAGGTCTCTCAGCCTGCACTTCAGCTGCACCCAGGTTCAGCGGCAGAGGCCAGCACTGGGATCAGTCCTGGCCACTTACTAGCCCTATGACCTCTGCCAAGTCCCTTGACCTTGCTAGGCCTCAGTTTCTTCATCTGTAATTTTGGGTTAACAACCATCCCACTGTAAAGGTTAACAAAGACCTTAACTTACTTGAAGGCAGTTTCCTAGCCCTGATAGATTATGAAGAGGGAAACAGGCTCAGAAGGGCTTGGTGACCCCAAAGTCCCTAATTCTCAGGAAGCCCATGTTTGCCTTCCAGTGCTGCCACTGCATTGTGCCCGGAACAGCTGGGCACTGGCTGACTGCTGCCTGGGCGTCCTGTCCCCTGTCCACCCAGACAAACACGCTCATGGGCACTGTGATCCAAACTACCTTTTATTCGGTTTCCAGTAAAAACACCAAGCACATCTGTGTCCACACAAGACTCCTAAAGAACCAATCTGGACCAGAGCTCTAGGCTCAGGGAGCTCCTTGCTCAGGTTTTAAGGCGGCTGGAGCGCCGAGGGAGGGTCGGCGGGTTCGAGGACCGATGTGTTCCCTTGCCGGAGGGTTTAGCCTTGTCCTGGGGGTTGGACTGCAGGGGCTGCCGAACATTGCTGCCTCCGGAGGTGAACAGCGCAGTGAGTGCGTTGCGGGCGTTGATGGCGCACTGGCGGCTCACGGGCCGGGAGCGCGAGCTCTCTGCTGCTTTGTATTTCTAGACACAGAGAGTGCACTGAGGTCAGGGCTTCCTACTTAGCTGGGGTCTCCTGGCCTGCAGCGGCTTCCCCAGCCCAGCGTGCTATGACCCCGAGTAAAGCGCTCAGCCCTTCTGGGCCAGGCTCCGGAGCTAACAGCCTTGCCCTCCACTTGCCCTAGAACAGGGACAGAAAGAACCCAACCCCACTTGCGCTCTGACTCCCTCCCTGAGGCGGCCGTGTGCCTGGGGACAGGCTACCCCCAAGGGACGTGGCACCTGACCGTCTTTCTCAGCGGGACAAAGCTGCATCCCTGGGCAGGGCAGGGGTCCAGCTCACCTGCAGGTTCTCAAAGTGAGCCAGTGACTTGCAGTGTGCAAGCCGCCCCCCGGAGTTGCTGTGGCAGAACTTGTGGCAGATGCGGCAGATGTAGCCCATCACAGGCACCAAGAAGTCCACACCTGAGGAGGGCAGGGTCAGGGATGCAGGTCCCCCCACCAGCCAGGCATCCTGGCCTCCCTAGGGCCCACTTATCCCACACCCAGCCTCTAGGAGGGAGGAGCAGGGGGCATAGGCTGACTGGTTGGGATCTGGGGGGGTCACCTGGAAGCTGAGCCCAGGGCCACTGTTCCTACAGGTGGGCTCAGGGCTTGGGTCTTACCACACGCAGTGCTGGGGTTGTAGGTCTCCAAGCCCTTCAGCTCCTCTTTTTCGCCATCTTTGTACCTTACCTGGAGAAATGCAAGCAAGGGCCTCAGACCTGGGTCTGGCTACCCTCCCCGCACGCCTCCTCCCCCTAGATTCTGGGGTGGGGCTGCCTCCAGGGATGCCCTTCCTGCTCCATGCTTTCCAGGCCCTGCTCAACACATCCCATCTGCCAGGCAGCTCCCACTCCCACAGTGGTCATCTCAGTGACCGCTCAGAGCAACCCTGCGGCTACACCCATCTTGCAAAAGAAAACTGAGGCCAGCAGGACATTAACTTACTTGCTCAGGGTTGCTCAGCTGGTCTGTGGAGAGGCCAGGGAGTGAGCCCTGGTGGGCTCAAGCCAGAGTTCAAATTCTCACCTGGGAGCCCTCAGCTCTGTAAGTTCTCACCCAGCACTCAGGTGACCTGAGTCCTGGTATGGGTTTTGGGTGACCAACAACCTCGTGTTCAACTTGCTCGACACAGGGCCCCTTCCAGAAGAGACCATCCCCAGCCTGTCAGCACTCTGAAGCCCGTAAGTATCCTCCACCACCTGCCATGTGGCTCCCAGAGTGACAACATCCCTTCGCCAAGCCTTTCCTCTCTGGACTATAAATGGGCAACCTCTGTGAGGCAAGGGCCATGCCTTGGGTCTCATGTCCCTGTGTCTAGCACCAGGATCTGGCCCTAACCAGATTCCCAGAAACATTTGTTAAACTGCAAAGAACCCGAGACCCAACCCGGTCCTCCTTTGCAGCTCCTCAGAGGCAGGGAGCTGAGCCATGAAAGGCATGGGCTCAGGAACCTCGCTGTTTATTTTGTTTTTGCTTTTTGACACAGTCTCGCTATGTATTCAGATTGGCCTCAAACTCACTATGGAGCTCAGGCTGGCCTCGAACTTGAAGCAATCCTCTCGCCTCAGCCTCCCAGCTGCTGGGATTACAGGCCTGTGTCACCGTAAGTCTGGCATGCACCAGCCTGGCTGTGAGTCTCTCTTCCGCCATCCACTAGAACGAGATTCTGACCATCCAATGCACGGTACCTGCCTAGCACATAGTAAATGCTCAAAAAAACCAGACAAGTCAGCTGCCAACACTGTCACCACCAGCACGTTACTCTGTGCCTCTCACTCTTCTTTCCTTTCCTCTGGACAGGCCAAAATCTCCACCAGGCTTCCAGGCCCTCACACTTTTCAGCAGCTACTTGACGGTTACCCTGCTGTGTTTCTACATGGTCACCTGCAATGCAGTTCACGCTAGCAACCCTGTGGCATGCATAGGTGACCCCCCGGCTGGCTGTCTGGCCTCCAGCCCGCCTATGCAGCCCACCCCAGCTACCTGCTTGCACAATTCTTCTTCAACCTCGACTTCCTCCTCCTCCTCTTCTTCCTCCTCCTCCTCTTCATCACCCTCAAAGCAGCCCACAGCATCCACTGTAATGAAGTGGTCCTCATCCTGGCCAGCCATCTCCTTCTCAAGCGTCTTCAGCTGCCCAGGGGAGTGGGTGAGGGACTTGGGTCAGCTGTGGGCAGCCAAGATGCCACACGCCCCTGAGTCCTGGTGCCTCTGGACCACCAAGGAGTTAGCCTGGGATAAAGCCTAACCTCCTGTGTGGCCCTGGCTGAGGCCCTGTACCTCTCTGGGTCCATGTCCTCAGAGGTGGCTGGGGTTACCTCCTTGGCTTTGTCCTTGTGCCCCTGGGACTTCACATGCTCCACAAACTTGCGGGGTGTCTTGAAGTAGCGGCTGCAAATAGTGCAGAAGGGTCGCAAGGACTGTTTGGCAACCTGGGAAAAGGATAGCAGGCAGCAGCCTGAGGTGTGACTCATGGAAGAGTGGGCAGGCAGCACCCAGAGACCACTCCTTCCACCTGCAGGCCCAGCACATCTGTCATCAGCCCTGCAGGCCCAGCACATCTGGCCTGGCTTCTGCCTCTGCCCTGGCACCTGCATGAACACAGCCAGCAGGTGGGCAGCAGGTGGCCACAAGACAAGAGAGAGGGGAGCCCCGAAGGACCCATTTACCTTGTGGCTGAAGGGCAGGTGCTGTGCCCCAACTGGGAGTGACAGTCACATGCAGACAATGACAGAGCTTCACTTCCTCTGTTCTGGCTCCCCACTCCCCAGTCCTGACACATGCAGGAGCCTTCACAGGAGGAGGGTCTCCTACCTTGTGGTCCTGTGTCCTGCGGTGTTGGATCAGGTCCCCCACATAGTACACCTGGCAGGTGTTGCACCAGCGCCTCAGGGGTGGCTCTCTGAATAATGACAATCAAAACAAGTATAGTGTGACACTGCATTCTTGGAAGAAATACAGCAGCTCCCCCAAATCGCTCCATTAGTATAACCCAGCTCAGCAGCAGAGCATGTGCCTGGCTCACGGGAGGCCTTGGGTTCCATGCCCAGCACAAAAAAAAAAAAAAAAAAAAAAAAAAAAATGGGAAAAGAATGGAAAGCTCAAGCAGGATCACTGTGAATTTGAGGCCCACCTGGCCTACACAGTGATGGTCTGAAGTACATAACAAGACCTTGTCTCAAAAAAGACAGACAGACAGACAGAAAAAAAAGAAAGAAAGAAAGAAAGAAAGAAAGAAAAAAAGAAAGAAAGAAAGAAAGAAATTGTTATGGCTTGTGTTTAGATGTCCCCCAAAGCCTCCTGCGGTCATAGGTGGGGCTTTTGCAGAGGTGGCTGGATGCAGAATCATATAAACTGATTCACGGTTCAGTGCAAGAATCAAGGGCACTAGGATTAAGAGTATAACTGCTACCTGCCACATGTAGCTGAGTAAAACAAAAGGGGCCAAAAGAGCTGTGGTTGTCCCTCACTGGCTTGGTGCCTTCGGCCTGCCATGAATGTTCTCCTCTGAAATGCCATCCACCACGCCACCTTGCCTTGGAGTTAGCTGATTACGGGCTGAAACCTCTACATACTGTGAGTCAAATAAACCTTTTCTGCTTTGGGTATCAGGTATTTTACCTCAGCAATAAGAAAAGTAACTAAAATTAAAAAAAAAAACAACCAGCTGTTAGAAGAGGGCTGTGTAATAACAGGTCAGAGTGTATCCTTAATGTAGGCAGGTTGCTAAAGAAAAATCAAATGTATTTAAGAACAGATTCCAAACCAGGGATTCAGCTCAGCCAGCATGTGAGAGGTCCTGGGTTCCCCAAGACCAAAAAGCAAAGCAAAACAAATAAAAGCAGTGTTCCCTGCTAGTGAAAATAAGAACTCTCTACAAACTATCCACACACACCACTTTATCCAATTTTAGGGGCCATGAGAGGCCCCCTCAGTTCCACAGATGGTGCTCTGAGGGATACCTTAATATAGAGCTACTTAGAGATCTAAATAATTTCACTACATCTTGCTGCGTGACTTCAATTTTTACTTTAAAAAAAACTAAAGCTGGTCCTGGTGGTGCATACCCAGCACTTGGGAAGCTGAGGCAGGAGCTGAGGCAGGAGGACTGCCATGAGTGTGAGGCCAGCCTTGGCCACACAGTGACTTCAAGACCAGCCTGAACGCCATAGCAAGACCCTGTCTCAAAAAAAAAAAAAAAAAAAAAAGACTATAAATCACAGAAAGTATCATGGCAGGAGCTAGACCAAAATATAGTGTTTTGTTTGTTTTGTTTTTGGTATCGGGGATTGAACTTACAACTCGTGCTGGCCAGGTAGCCACTTATGCCACTGAGTTAAATCCCCGGCCCCAAAATACAGTGTTTTATCTCTGTGTGATGTTTACCTTCTTGTATGTCTGTGTGCTGTACTTTAAAAATGTTATACAATGGACATGTGTAAACCCAGGGGCAATCCCTTTTTACGTTTCTCATTCACACATTTTTACAGCACTGGAGACTCATTGTTGTGGTACTAAGGATTGAACCCACGGCTTGCACACTGAGCCACACGCCCCATCCTTTTGTTACTTTTTATCTTGATATAGGGTCTAGCTAAGTTGCCCAGGCTGACTTTGAACGCCAGCTTCAGCCTCCTGAGTAGCTGGGCTTATGGACAGGAATGCTCCACCCCACCAAGTTAAATTTAAGTTTTACAAGAAGCATTAGTACCTCAGTCATTTTTAAAAGGCACTAAATGAAGAAATACATTCATCTGCCAGGTGCATAACGCAAGGCCTCCTAGAAATGCCCAAGCTGGGTGAGAACACGGCAAGCTGTGAGGAAGGAGTGGGGATCATCCCCGCCAGTGGGGGCTGGGCTCAGTTCTGGGGTCCAGCACCTAGGCCCATTCTTGGATCATTTCTGTCTTCCACTGGAAATGTACCACGTGGCTTTACAGCTGGCCCTGCCCACCACAGCCTGACCGGCAGAACACCCCCGCCTGGCCAGGAGAGTGGTTCTGGCGCACCCAGCACTCTCTGGCCCTGCAGATATGGACTCTGTCTTCCTGCCAGCGCACTGCGTGCCCAGGATGGAGCTGTGAGTGACCTGAGGCCTTTCTACAAAGTGATATCCCCTACATCCAGCTCTGTCCCTCGCTTCCTCAGCTATGAAAACCAGAGATATTGTTCCATTGGGCTCAAGCTGATTTTCCTCTTCTGTCTGGTACTGTGAACCAAAGTCAGGCAGCTGCAGCTTGGGGTTAGGGGTTACTTTGTTTACAGCAGGGCACTGACAGGTGACCACCAGTGCCGTGTCCAGGACACCACTAGAACGATGAAGTAACTGAGATGATGGCCTGGGAAATTCCCATTTAATTTTTCCTTCAGTGTAAAATGTCTGGTCTGCTTTTTGGGTGTCTTTGTTTGTGTGTTTCTGTGACAGGGTCCCGATACTTAATCCAGGCTGTCTTGAACTCACTATGTCGCCCAGGCTGGCCTTAAACTTACAGTGATCTTCCTGACTCAGCCTCCCAATTGCCAAAACACAGGCATTCACCGCCACACCATCTTCCAGTCAAAATCATTCCGTGCATCCAAGGTTGAACCTGTTTGAACCTGATCAATTCGCAGTGTTCCCTGTAACTCTCCTATGCATTGCTTGGATGAGGCTTAACTGATGTAACCAACTATGTAATTTATGGTATTTTAGATCATTCCTAAACTGACCTTCAACTCAGAGATTCTTCTGCCTCAGCCTCCCACATGCTGGTATTATAGGCGTGCACCACCATGCCCAGCCTCTCCCATTATATAAACTCAGAAAATACCTTTATGAGTTCCCTTCCTCTTGTGTTTGCTTATGTTAATGTCTAATAGGCAGAAGATCAGGGAAGAAAGCTTCTCCCATTGAGAACCTGCTACCAAAGACTACACTGGAGGGAAATCCATCTGTGTCACAGTGTGTTTCATAGAAGCCAACATGGTTGAGACATTTCAATTTGAGAACTTTGAAAGCTTAACTAAGTAACCCAGTAGTTTCACATCCTAGTGTGCAGAGAACATGAGTTTGAAATGTTGATACATTGTATCAACTTGAGAAGTTTGGAAGTTTAACTAAGTGACTCAGCAGGGAGCCTGGGTCCTCACTTCCTAAACATCCTGAGCCTGTGCAAAAGGAAGGCACAGAGATGATGTGAGAGCTGCACCCGCTCCAGAGCAGGTAGCCTGCTTATCACAGAGAAACAGGAAGAGGCTTGTTCCCCACCTTTTTGCCTTGTTGCTTTTGCTGTCTTCCACCACCATGAGCTACTGCCCCTGTGCCATTCCACCCTGCCTGGGAGCCAGCTGATTATGGACTGAAACCTCCACAAACTGTGAGCTAAATAAAGCTTTCCATCCTTAACTCTAAGTGTTGGGTATTTTGTCCCAGCAACAAGAGAAAAGTAACCAAGACACCAACCAAGAGCCCTTCCTGTCCCTTATACCTGCCTGAGAAAAGTGAAGCTGTGACCTGTGCAAACTCAAAAGTACCTGACCACTGACTCAAGGGTCAACTGTCCAGCCTGTGAACGGCTCTATTTGGATTCCCCAGGGTTTGCATTCTGAAACTGGGAGCTTTCCATTCAACTACCAATCCAGATTTCTGAATTTTCCTGAAAGAAGAGATCGAGGTGGGGACAATAGACCAACCCAATGTACCCCTACTTCTCTATGATACCTCCCAGCCCTTGAAGCCCTATGACAGCCCGCTGGGCCCCAACGGTTTGTGCCAACCACTAGGATGACGATGTTTCTGATCCAATGAACCCTGTGACGACTAAAGAAGGGACTTGGGGCTGCTCTGTGAACACAGGCCACAAGGTGACCTGATCCCTGCCACTGCACCCCCATTATAGGCCAGGGGGCAGGGCTCTGGGCCCACCAGACATCACATTGTTCCCATCAGAATGGAACCTAAAGAGACTGTGGTAAATCCCTGACCACGCACCTCATCGGGGCATTTACAGATTGGGGAAACTGAGGTCCACAGCCATTGTTAATGGTGTCAAGAGGCCTCTAAGGAAGCCCAGGCTGACCCCAAAGACAGCCCTGGCAGAGGGCAGATTCAGGACCTGCCCACCCCAGCACAGAGCAGCCCCCAACTCACTCCTCATCTCTTTCCAGGGTGTCCCGGGGCATGGGGAGCAGAGACAGGAGGCACGCTTGGTTCACATGCTGGAGTTCCACAAGCCGCTGCAGGTGCTGGGCCTCCGACATGTGGTTCTGGAACTCCTGTGGCACGAACAAGCCAGGGATGAGCACTGTGGAGGACAGCTCCCACCTGGGCCTCAGAGTCACCCTGCCATCTCTGTGAGACCCTGCATGGGCCAGAACACACTGGTAAACTGAGGCAGGGAGTACACACCAGCCCACAGCTCTGCCCCTCCCAGGGCCTGTGACCACCTCAAAGACAAGGAACATTTTGGTTCACTTACGGCTGCATGGCTTTGCTCAGGGCAGGCAAAGTAGAGTTAACCATAGCAACGAGGATACTAACACACTCAGAAGGCTTCTGTTACCCATGCTTTGGTCACCTGGGCCAGGCCTTGGCTCCAGACTGCAATGTCAGGTCAGGGCCAATTTGAACCAGGTCTGCCTAAGTCTAAAATCTGCCCTGCTCGCTGGTCAGGAAATGCTTTCTTTTTTGTCTGGTCTGATATGGTCTGGTTTCGTTTCATTTTGTTTTGCTTTGTGGCAGGGTCTTGCTACGTAGTTCAGGCTATCCTAGAGCTCGTAGCAATCAGTTCTCCTGCCTCAGCCTCCTGAATTTGGGATTACAGGTGTGCACCACCACACCTGGTAGGAGATGCTTTCTGAGCAGATGCTCTGCTGCCCAGGGTCAGGCTCACGGGTTCTGTGCGACCACTAGAGCAGCATGGAGGGGGCAGGCTACACGCTGAGAGACCCCAACCCTCCCTGCCCCCAACCCCACCTGTCCACCCCTAGTACCTGCTGGCTACTACAGCTGGCCTTGCAGATGTAGCAGAAGAAGTGAAGGCCCTGCTTAGAAGGCGTGCTGGCGGCTGCAGGGGTGGCAGAGGAAGAGTCGCTGGGACGGGGCCCAGGCGCGACGGGTGTGGTGTTAAAGGCCCGGCTGTCACTGCTCTGCAGGATGGTGACCTTCAGGGAGCCCCCGGCACCCCACATCTGCACCAGGAGCGGGAGCAGAGCTTCTGCCATCTGGGTGCTTCTGGCCACTCAGCGCCAGGGTGAACACCTATGAGCACTGCTCTATCACAGCCTCTTGGCAGACAGGGAAACTGAGGCTCCAGCTGTTAGGTGACTGCCCATGCTGTGGCTAGAATGGGAATCCAGGTCTGCCAAACTGTAAAGTCTAAATGCCACCCCTCCTATGACAGATAGGGAAACTGAGATGCAAAGAAGGGAAGGGGCTTGGCCCAGACGAGGACCCAAGCCTCAGAGAAGCTTTTATTATATGCTCTTCCCACTAGAGAACTGGAGACTTCCCAGTGAGAGGGGACTGGGAGCTCTTGCTAGAGGACTGCCCAGCTGCCAGGAACTCTTTTGGTTTGTTTTCTTGAGTCAGGGGCTTACTATGTAGCCCAGGCCACCCTTCAATTCCCTGGGATCGTCCTGCCTCAGCCTCCTGAGTGCTGGGATGACAGGCATACACAACCATGCCAGGCTATGGAAGGGGCTCTTGTCATCAAATGCACCCTAGGTCTTCAGAGCAAAGGTATGGGAAAGCCACACTATTGAATGAGTCTCCATTCAGTCAGTCTACATCAGACTCAGTGGGGAAACACAAGGGGACCCCAGGTAGCCTGAGGCAGAGAAAAGACAGACACCCTGCTGTTGGGCCCCGGGGCCCACAGTGACAGCATTGACACTGCTACCCACCCCAAGCATCTCTCGCGCTCTTTTTTCACATTCTCCTGTGTGCAGACCACCAGCTGGTGACTCCTGGCTCACTGCCACCTTGACCTGGGCCCCCACCGGCTCTGGTGAGGCCTCCTCCATCCCTGAAATGACAAGTGTGCTCTCTTTCCCAGAGCCATTCTAGGCTCTGAGGGACCTGGGCTAAGAACCACCTTCTCCACACACAAGTAGATCCTTGAGGTCCCAAGTGTGGACCTGGGCTCCAGGCCTGGCCCTCCGCCTCTGGCAGCACCCAGCCCAGGCTGGACAGTGCCAGAGGAGGAACCTGGCAGGGAGGTGACACTCACTCACCTCCCCCAGGCTCTGCTGTGACATTAGGCAGTGTCCCTGGCGCTGTGGCATCCATAGGAACTGGTGCTCGCTCTGGGGTGGGCACCAACCCTTGTGGCTGGGTCTCAGGCTGGCCTTGGGTCTGGTCCGGTGGCTGCACAGGCACCTGGGAGGAAGGCTGCTCCAAGGGCTGCTCCCGAGTCTGGCCCCTTGGCGGGTGGTCCCGGCCAGGCACCTGTGGACATGTCTGTGTCTGGATCTGCAGCTATAGCTGCCCCTGCTTCGGGGGCTGGGCTCGGCCCTGTGACTGCACCTGCTTCTGTGGCTCTGTCTCCTTCTGCAGTGGCACTAGGTGCTCTAGGGAGGTCTGTGTTTGTGCCTGCTTCTGCACCTTCAGCGGCACCTGAGTGTCTGCAGGTGGCATCTGCTGTGGAGTCTGAGGCTGCACCTGAGCCTGGATCTGCAGGACCCGGGGCTGGAACCCAGGCAGCACTCGGGCTCCTGGCAACTCGGGCAGCAGTTCCGGTGTCTGGGTCTGCTTGGGCACTGTCCTCCGGGCCTGAAGATCCACCTTCGCCTGTGATAGCCCTGGGGGTCCCTTCTCTGTGGGCATCTCTGAACTAGAAGGGATCAAGAGAAGATCAAACGTGTATCTGCCAAAAGACCCCCAAGAAAGACCAAGTTTCCGATCCCAGTTCCACCACTGACAAGCAGATTGGGCAACTCTGTGGCTTTCTGGGCTGTGGTCATCAATCCTGATGTATCAACTTAACTGGATTAAGAAACACTTGGAAGATTAGTAAAGCACACCTGGGGTGTGTCTGGGTCAGCCAGAGAGGTGTGACTTTGGGGACTATACACCAATGACCCCCCAAAATTTTAGCATTAAGGACCAGTTTCATGGAAGACAGTATTTCCATCGACTAGGGGTAGCAGTGAAGAACGGTTTCAGGATGATTCATGCAGAGTCCATTTGTTGTGTGCTTTATTTCTATTATTATTATACGTGGACTTTACTTCTATTATTATTATTATTACATGCAATAAATGGGCGCAGCTTGAGACCATACTCATAAGTGAAATAAATCAATCTCGCATGTGTGAATACCGAATAGTTTCCCTAATGTAAGTAATGATTCAAATATATAAAAGTATGTGGTAATCATGATTTCCCATTATGTGGCCTTGAAGCCTTATAAAGTTTTCACTTATTAATTGGAAAGGCTTTATTCTGGGCTTCTTGATATGGAAATATTTGAAGCTATAGTGTATGAAGTTATATTCAAATATTTCAAGGAAAAAGACAGACACTATGGTAACTACTATTAAGTCGGGTTATTTGGTGGTGAAGCACTAGGTTGCTGAAACAGTCATGCTTTGACCTGTATTGTTATGTTGTTATGTCCTCTTTTATCTCAATCTCTCCCTTATTCATTAAAAAAATTATTTAGTTATTTTTTATGGTTTTTTTTAATTAAGGGGAAAATTTTTAAAAATTAGCAGGATATATTATAGTAACTTTTGATTTCCTATTAACTTGTTTTGAAGTCCTGTAATACTCCAACTATCTTGTTTTGACTGATTAGACTCTGTTCCATTCTGTATGATAGTTATCAAGTTTGAGGGTATAGGCAACTACTTTGAAGGCAGTAAGATTCACTAAGATGCCCATTCTGGTTTGACTATTGTCTCCTTTGGAAGTCCTGTAATGTTTACAATGTTTAAGTTTTATTGGTCTTGTTCTCTACTGTTTTGTTCAACTTTATAATACCTAATGAGATAGACAATTCTTTTTTAGAGGCATTATGGTAACCATTGTTGGTAACCTTGTACTCGGTTTTTACATCATGTGCTATGTCTATTCTTGGTTTTGACTGACAGCTTTGTTTTGCCATATTTGACTTTATTCTCTTCCAAAAAAAAAAAAGTAATAAGAACTAAAGAGTAATAAAACCCAAAATGTGTAAATTTTGTTGTAAAAAAGAAAAGGGGAAAAAAAGTGCTCTAAAGGATACAACTGCAAGTATGTTTAGGAGTGTTAAATATCTGACCATATTAATGTTTTTGCTTGAATCATTGAACACAACTGTTTGCAGTCTCTCTGTTTGAATGTTCACTTTGTATGCTTTGATACTGTGACTTGAGCAACTATCTCTAAGATGATAATGTGTAATCTATTAACTGGTGATTTCTTACTGTTTTTTTGTTTTTGTTTTTGTTTTTTTGTAGTTCTGTATTACTTGTACCCTTACACCGCTTTGTTTTGGTTTTGTTTTTTCTCTTTTTCCTTTTAAATAAAATTTTAAAAAAAACATTCAATTCTCATAAGGAGAGCATGCCCTACATGCCTCAAATGTACAGCTCATGGTAAGGTATGAGCTCCCATGAGAATCTAACTCAAGAGATGGGAAGTAGCTGTGAACACAGAGGAAGGGGGGTGGGGGTCACATACACACCGGTACTATCTGCAGCCCAGGGCTTGCAGATCTCCACTCTGTATGGTCCCTGGCCTTTCTGCTCTGGTGCTAGCTCCCTATTTGGCTTCCTGGCTGCTGTGAGCTAGGCAACTTTGCTTCTGCCTTGGAGTCAGCTAACCATGAATTCTCTGAAAGAGCTAAATGAAACCTCTGCTCCTCTAAATTTTAGGTATCCGTTATTGTGGCTGATGACAGGAAGCTCACCAATACAGAAAATGGGTACCAGAGTGGGATGGCTGCTGTAACTGTATCTGACCATTTGATTTAGAAGCTTCTGGAATTGACTTATGGGAAGTTTTTGGAAGTTTGGAGAAACAACGAAGAGACGCCCTACTAAGTAGGCAGAGCTTGGTGGGTGATTCTGGTGGGAGATCAAACAACAGAATGCTATGGGTCTTTGGAGAGGAAAGGCCAGGCTCAGGAAATCTGAGATGGGAACAAGGACTCTATAGGAAATGGACTGGAGGCCATGCATGCCACAGCATGGCAAACTTATCATTATTTTGTCCATGTCCTAAAACTATGAGGCTAATTTAAAGGTGGCAGACTGATTAATCCAGTGAAGGAAACTTCAAGACAGTCCAAATTCAGGCTTTCGCATGGATATTGCCAGCTGCTTTTAGCTAAATTTATAGTGAGAATTGAGGGCAAACAGCACAGCAGAAAAATCTGAAAAACTTAAATTTGGCCCAGAAGGAACCATGTGTAAATTTGGGGCCAAAGGAGATACGGAAGCTGAAGAGACTAATACCATAAAGAAGAAACCAAGTACTTTGGACAGGAACAAGGAGAGGAGGTCTCAAGGGCATCTCAGGAATCAGCAAGACCCTGCTCATCACAGACTCCATGGAACAAAAGTATAAACCTTTCATCTGAGAAGAGCCCTGGGCCACCCAGAGAACTGATTCCCTGGGGTTCATTTCACCGTGCGCAATCATCGGGGCACTCAGGCTGCTGTGGCCATGGTCCCGAGGGGCATGGCTAATACCTGCAATGGTGGCAGACCTTAGCATCATCCATGTGGTTTTACATATTCAGAATGAGTATATTGTGAGGTCAGGGAAATTCCCACCTGGATATCAAAGGAAGGCCGGAGGGCCAGACGATGTGGCCCCGAGAGGGCAGTGCGGGAAGGGTTGAAAGGGCAGGGAGACCCCGGCAAGTTGGAGATGTCAGAAGCACATAACATCTGCAGACTATGAGTAGAGTCTCTACGAGAGAAGCAATGGGAGCTGTACCCATTATGATGCAGGAACTGGGCTGCTCAAACTCTTCGGAGCGTGCACCTCACCACAACCCGCCCAGTATCTGATTTGGAGCTACAAGATTTCACACTTTCCCTCCTGGGTTTCAGTCTAGCTTTGGTCTGGTTCTTTTCTACCTTTTTACTCCTGCCTTTCAGAATGTGCCATTCTACATTAGGATTATGTAATTCTTTTTTCCTAAGAGTTTGCCTTGAGTTGCATAAGAGACACTGGCTCAAACTTCTAAAAAGGGCTGGAATTGTTGAGACTGGGGAAGAGATTACTACATTTTTTATTATATGCCAGATAGTTGGGTCATTTTAGGTGGAATTATTAACTTATTATTGTGTTTATTTGGATATTAAGTATGGGTTAAGGAGATATATTTGGTGTCAGGTTAACAAGGGGTGGCTTTGACTGGTTATCTTAATATATGTCAACTTGATTGGAGGAAGACACACATACCAGATTAGTAAAGTACTAATCAGCTTCTGGGTGCCTATAGGTCACCAAGGACATGACCTTGGGTACTACTTATGGTCCCTTGTTCCTTGCTCTTTGGCCCTGTTCCCCTACTCTGCTCCTGGCTGCCATGAACTAAACGGCTTCACTCTACCACGCCCTTCTGCCATTATGGTCCTGCGTTGGAGCCAGCACTGAATTCCCTAAAGCCATGAGCTAGAAAGAGTTAAACCTCTCTTCCTTTCAACTGTGGGTATCAACTATTACGTCCCCGGGACAGCAAAGCTAACACAGGGGTATGAGTGTCACCTAAATAAACTGGAGAGGATTCCCCCTTCCTGCCACTTGCTAATATGTCTCCAATCAGCCCTACAAACCTGCTCACCCTCTGCCACTCTCGGAGGTCTCAGGCACAGGCCGTCAGCCCCCCAACCTGGCCCTCAGTCTGGCCTCCCAGGTAGATGCAGAAGTCTGACTTTCCCCCACCCTAGAGACATCTTGACCCACCTTCCACAGGGCCAGTTCCTGCTTCCCCTCCTCACCTTTGCAGGGATGAGCAGAGGGAACCTGGGCCCCGGCACCTCCCCAGCATCACTCACCTCCTCGGCCTCTTGGCCAATGGCTCAGTCACCTCACAAGGTTCAGGCTCAGGTGTGGGAGTGCATTTCTCACTCAAGGTGCCATCTGAGCAGGGGGATGAGTCTCGGCCTAGAGTGGGAATGGACAGGGGAATAGACACACCACATAGAGCATGTCTGACCCCAGAAACGGGGTCAGGCTCAACCCCGTCAGGAATCCCTGCCTCCCACGTCTGCCTCCACAACTTGCCCCCCTGCTCCAACAACCCAATCCATGCCCCTTCTGAAGGTCCGGCAGGCTCCCCACCTCCCTCACCTTCAGGTGTGTCCGTTCTGGGCTCTTCAGCTTCTTCAGACCCCTCATGGGGGTCTGCCCCATCTTCCACGGGCATCGTCTGAGAAGAAGAATCCTGCTACCTTTCAGAAACCATTTCTGACAGCTGCAACCACCTCTGCAAATACTGCCTTGGCCAGCAGCAGCTGCCACAGTCTGCAGGGCCTGGTGGGGCCCAAAGGATCTTTGGTAGGCCCGGCTCCAGAGCTGCCAGGCAGATGCTGGGATACACCCCAACCCTGTTTAACTGCCTGACTGTAAAGAAAGCCAGGTTGGGGGGTCACAGAGCCCCTTCCAGCCCCTTGGTTTCCCCGTACCCGTCTTCCCAAGGAGCCTTTGAAAAAACCTCCTTTGGGGGCTGGGGATTTAGCTCAGCGGCATAAGCACCTGCCTTGCAAGCAGGCAGTCGTGAGTTCAATCCCCGGTACCAATAAAAATGACAAAGACAAAAAAAACCTCCTCTGGTCTCTTTCATACTAAAACTTCTCTCGTCTTCCTGTACCTTGGGGCACTTCTTACCCAGAGCCTAAAACCACACTCCCCTGCCCACCCCAACCCACACAACCTGGTCTCTGCACCCTCAGTTCCCCATGGCCTCAGCATCACCACTCTCCCTGACCCTCTCTGCATGTCCATGCTGGGCCTCTCCAGAAAGCCCCAGGCCTCCTCCTGTCCCCAGGGGACACCCATCGAAGTCCCCTGACCCCAAACTAGGTCCAGATCCTTACTGTAGGCCCCCAGGAGCCTTCTGCTTACTTTTAAAAGGTGGCATTTTCCTGTCTTAAATGGTTTGCTGGGGCATTATGCATATTAAGGTCTCTCATGCCCTCCCCAGGACCGGCAGGCAGACCAGGCCACATGCAATGTCCGCACTATTAGACCTCCACCCCTCAGGGTCTTTACAGATGTTGGCTTCACGAACACAAAGCTCCAGCCAGCCAAGGCACCTTGGGAAGCCCTGGGGCTGCCTACAGTTTCCTTCCCTCCTGCTAAACACCACACATTAGGACTGAGTGGGAACCGGGAGGCTCGAAGACAACACCCTACTCTCGCCCACCCTGAGGGACACAGGCATCTGCCTATAAACTGGGGGCCCACTTCAGAGCTGGAGCCCCTGTTCTAAGACAGGGTCTCATCTGCAGCTGTGGGTCACCTGAAGCAAGCAGGGAAGAGCTCCTAGAACTCTCAGGGACAGGACCTCTGCAGGTCACGGAAATGATAAACACCGCACGAAGGGAGCCGGGGCCCAGCGGGCTGCAAGCTCAGGCTGTTAGAAGCCATCAGGTGGGTCATTTAGGGTCCCCTGCTTCTCCACTTGCTTCTCCACCTGCTTCTCCACCGCTTCACTACTTCCACTTCTACATATTCCAGTTAATTTAGTTTTTAAATTCTCCGGTAGTGATACAATGTTTCCCTTGATTTCATCTTTAATGTTTCCTTTTAAAATAAATCTAACAGCCGGCATAGGGACCACACCTGTCATCCCAGCACTTGGGAAGGCAGGAAGATCACTGCAAGTTTGAGACCAGCCTGAGCTACAAAGTGAGCTCAAGGCCAGCCTGAGCTGCATAGCGAGACCCTGTCTCAAAAAGACCAAAACAATAAATAAATAAGTAAACAAATTCAACAAAGCCAGGCCTGGTGCCCCATGCCTGTAACCCCAGCACTCAGGAGCTTGAGACAGGAGGATCACCATGAGTACAAGGCCAACCTGAGCTACATTCTGAGTTCAAGGCCAGTCTGAACTACATAGTGAGACCCTGTTTAAATCAATCAACCTAACATTTATTTACTTATTTATTCTTTTATTTTGCAGTACTACACATTGAACCCAGGGCCTGCACACTGAGGTATATCCTTAAAGATCTTTTTTGATTTTTTTTTTTCAGATAGCATCTTGTCGAAGGCCAAACTGCCCAGAAAAATACCCAAACCTGTGATCCTTCTGTCTGAGCCTCTCAGAGTGCTGGGGTTACAGCACTCGGATGCTGTGGATGGAACCCAGGGTCTCACATGAGCTGTCCCCATGCTCTGACCCTGAGCCATGTCCCCAGCTTCTGCAGCTAACAAAGCTGCCTATAAGCTGGGCCTAGCTCTACTTGGACCTGGCAAAAGGGATGTCAGGGGCCCGGGACTGTGTAAAGCCTGAGAAACACCAGACAAGTCCCGCTCTCCTCGCCTATTTGTAGAGAAGAAAACGGAAGCATCAAGTGGGATCCTGACCTGCCCAGGGTGAGCGCTAGCAGGTGGAGCTCGGGTTGACACCCAGCGTCCCATTCCCCCTGTCCCTCCCTAGCCATCACTCACCTTGCGATTGGCTGTGGTGGAGGAGTAGGTCCGGGTCTGCTTCTGGGGGTTTCTCCCTGAAAGGTTGAACTGCGAGGGGTTCATGGGGACCCCAACAGGAGGGGGGCCCAGCAGAGACTGGCGAGTGGCCTGGGGAAAGAACTGCTGCAGATTGGGAGGCCCCAGCTGGGGCGGGGTGATGCTGGGGGCTGTCAGGTTCGGGGTCACCATATTGTAGCTGCGGAGGCTGCCTGCAGGCAGGGAAGGAGAGAAGAGGATCTCACCGTGGCTGCGTGGTAGAGCCTGGGGTCAGGGGTCACCTCCCAAAGCATCATGGGAACATCACAGTTAACTTCCAAAGGGGCTTGTCCCACCCCAGGGCAGCCAGACTTAAGAGATGGGAGACACAATTTGAGTCCTACCATGTGTGCTGGTGGTGAAGGAGGCTCTGGGGGCTGATTTTCTGCTCTAGTACGGGGAGAGGGGGGCCTGCCGAAAAGCGAAAGCCTCCCAGATGCCCCCTCGGATCATTTTGAGCGACCCAGCAAACCCACTCACCCTCAGCCATGCATTTGAGTTCACTGCAGCTATGCAACAGAACCCAGCAGCACAGGACCCACGGGAGGAAGCTTCGAGCTCCTGGTCCTCCCACAGCTCCCCTTCCTCCAGGGCCTACTATGAGCCAGGCACTGGGCTACGCTCTTCCCCTCACTGCATCTGGCACCTGACCTACCAGGCATCAGGCGAGATAGCATCATCTCTACCATGACAAAACGAAGACAGGAGCCAGGCACAGCACTTACAATCCCTGACCTAAGAGGATTATCACAGTTCAAGGCCAGCCTGGACTGCATAAGGAGACTCTTATCTCAAAACAAACAAAAATAAACCAACCACAGACACCAAGCAGAGAAACAGCTTCCCCAGAAGCTCAATGAGGGGCACCATCAGCTGTCTGCTAGGTGCAGCCAGGACTCTGGGGACCCCTCCACTTCCTCCCTCTCCTCACCCCACCCAGATCCAAGACAACAGCAACCTACCTACCCTGTTCCGCACATGGCCCCCCGACACGACTTCTCTCCATCATCCCTTCTTCCAAAGCCAATCTACCCTGCGCCTGTATTTTAGCCATAGCTTTCACACCTGATGCCGGCGGAAAGGGATCTTTCTAAAACCTCTGTTGCACACCCGTGATCCCAGCACTCAGATGGCTGAGGCAGGAGAATCAGTATGAGTTCAAGGTCAGCCTGGGCTACATAGTAAGCTCAAGACCAGCCTGAACTATATATACATACCAAGACCCTATCTCAAAAAAAAAACAAAAAATACATGTGTGCCTGGTACATAGTAAGTGCTCAGTTATCATGAACTCAAAATAAATACACATACACGCATGTGCAAAAAGCCAAGCTACTCTTAAAAACAAAACAAAAGATGGAACACTCTCAAAAGAAAAAAGGACAAAGGACATGGACAAGTCACAAAAGCAAATATAAATGGTCTACAGATAAATATAAAAATGTTCAATAACACTAGCGCTCCAGGAAATACAAATGAAAACACTGATGACATAGCACTTTTTCGCCAACCAAAAGTTATACATATATAGAGAGAGATTTATAAATATAAAAAACAAGCATATAATACCCATTGTTGCTGTGGGCATGGTGAGACCGGCACTGTCATACGTGGCTGGTGGCATTGCAAACTGGTCCAGTCCTTTAGAAAGCAATTTGGCAATATTTATCAAAATCCATAAAACATCCGACCCTTGATTCAGTCATTCTACTGAGGGGAATCTAGTCTAAGAAAACTCAAACATCATAGTCATCATATTATTTAAAATGGAAAAGGAAAAGGAACAGCTGAGAAAGTTTAGGCAACAAGGGCACATCCACACAGTGAATCAAAAATATCAAAACATATGGTAACGATGGGACCCCTCTTTTCAGTGAAAAAGAAACAAGATACTGCCTCTCACTTTGAGCAATCCCAATAATCACACATAGCTCCCTAAGTCCCTGCTTAGGAAAAAATAGGAGGAAATATACCAAAATATTGGTTGATTTTTTTTTTTTTTTTTTTTTTTTTTTTTTTTGCCTTTTTGAGACAGTGTCTCACTATGCAGTTCAAGCTAGCCTTGGACTCACTTTGTAGCCCAGGTTGGTCTCGAACTTGCAAGGGATCCTCCAGCCTCAGATTCCCGAATGCTGGGATTACAGGCCTGTGCTGCCACACCCAGGCTGCCTGGTGATTTTCTTTAGATGATTCTATAGATAATTTTGGTTTTCCAACTTTCCCTTCTTTTATACATTATTCTCACTTTGATTAGTGTGACTTTTGAAATAGGTGCAAGATAAAGGGGAAATACTGATGTAGACGCGTTCTACAGGGTGGTTTCTCTATCTATCCACTATGATTCATAAATCAGCTCCCAGGATTATTCGAATTCATGTAGCCCTGGCAAAGTGATAATCATCGGATCAACTCTCACCTGCTGGTGACCTTGAGCACATGATCCCTCTCTGGGCCTCAGCTTTTTTGGTTTGGTTTGGTTTTTGGAGACAGGGTCTCACTTTGTAGTTCAGGCCAGCCTTGAACTGGTAGTGATCCTCCTGCCTCAGCCTCCCGAGTGCTGGGATCACAGGTGTGCGCCACCACACCCGGCATTCAAATGGCATCTAATCTGAATGTGAGTGTAGGCTGCTACTGAGCACTGTCCAAAACACCAGCACCATGGCCAAGGGCACCTCTGCAACTGGACAGCTGCAGTCAGCTGAGCTGCTTGGGAACTTTCACCTCCCGCAGCCCCAGTGTCCTGAGAAGGACAGCAACGCGGGTACCCTGAAGCTGGCCCAAGCATGGGGTTCATACCTTGCAACTGCTGCAAAAGCAAAGCTCTTTGCAGCATGGAGCCATTGAGCAGGGATGTGGTCTGGAGGTTCAGGAGCTGCTGCTGCTGGGGCTGCTGCTGGGGGAAGCCGCTGTGTGGGGAAAGAGGCCTCAGAGGGTTATTAGGAGAGTCAGACCCTATCCCCTTGAAACCCTTGATCGCCATTCTCTGCCCTCCCCTCCCCGTTTCTACAGTAGACAGAGGACCCCTCTCTCAGGGTGGGAACTGATGATATCTAGGACTTAGGCAAGGACTAGGACTGAGCCAGGGCTCCCACACAGGGACTGCAGCCCGCACCAACTCAAGCTGGGACTCACCGGCTCACAGCCACAGGCAGCGGGGCCTGCGGCGGGGACTGCTGGAGCAGCTGCTGGAGTTGCAAGAGTTGCTGCTGCTGCAGCTGCTGCTGCTGCTGCTGCAAGCTGAACATGGTGGCTGGGGGAAACAAGGCCAGTGAGGCCCAGGTCCCCTCCCCCTCACAGCCACCTACCCAGCCTGATGCTGCCAGCCGAGCCACACCACGTTCACACCCAGGACCCCCTCCCCGCAGCTCCTCCACTGCTGCCAACATCTTCCCATCCCCCACCCCGCCCCACCTCCAGGCTCCCAGCGCCCAGCGCCTCCCCGCCCCCACCTCCAGCCGGTACGGACACCCCGCTCTCTGGGCCCGGGTTGCGTCAGTACCAGCAGCACCGTCCCCGCCTCCCCCGCAGCCTCGCCAGCCTTACCTGCCTCTCCCGCGCCGGCCCGCGGCGCAGCCTGAGCCTCCTAGCCGCGGCCTCCACCCGCGCCCCCGCCCGCCTCCCGGCGCGCGCGGCCTCCGCCGGGGGCCCCGCGGCTCCCCACGCCACCCCGCGCCCAGCCCTGCGCTGGCTGCCCCACGGGAAGGCAGCGTCGCGTGCCAGCCGCGCGCGGCCAGGAAGCTCCGGATCCAGCCTCCGGGTGCCCGCGTCTGGGCCAGGCCCGGGCGCTCGGAAGCCGGCGGCGGCCCGGCACCGCCCCCTGGAGGCGGGGAGGTCCGGGCCGCGTCCCGCGCGGTGGCTGCCGCGGGATCCGCAGGGGGTTGGACGGGGCCCCCGGGGGCGCGGACGGTCGGCCCAGCGTCCTCCGCCTCGGGGAGCGAGGCTGTCAGCCCCGGCTCCGCCTCCGCCTGAGGGGTCTGCGGTCCCGCGGCGCCATTGCGGGGGGCGGAGGGCCGGGGGGCGGGGGTTCCAGGAGGACCCGTCCCCAACCGACCTCCCCGAACCCGCTGCGGCCCGCGATCCTGAGCCTGCGCGGGCTGGGCGGGAGGGGCCGCGCACCTCGGAGACCGCAGGGCAGGGGTGGCCAGGGGCGCACAGCTGGGGAGGAGGAGACGCCCCGCAAAGCAGGGGGCCGGGCGATTTGAGAGTTTTGTTTTGTTTTGTTTTTCTATTAGATTTGGCCCAAGGGACGAAGTGTGAGTTCAGTTATAAAAATGTTCCCCGGCCGGCCGGGGTGGTGCACAGGTGTAATCCCAGCACTCGGGAGGCTGAGGCAGGAGGAGAGCCTCAAGCTCGAAGGCTATATAGTCAGCCTGGGTTCTGTATTGAACACAAGAACAGGGTGAACTGCATATCGAGACCCTATCTCCAAAATTAAAGATCAAAAATTAAAACATCCTGCTCTGAACCCTCACACCCCACCCTTGAAAAAACGGGGCTGAATTCCAAGGTCCCTCTTCAGGACCACTCGGTCTTCCATCTTGGTTCCTACACAGTCTTTGCCTAGTAGGTATTCATCCTTTTTGCCCTTTTCTCTTACTCAAGCCGTCCTCTGCCCGGGGCGAGCCGCTCACGCGGCCTCCTGCGCTGACTGTGCCCGGGGGTGGGGGGGACCGTGGCGCTGGAGCTGGAGACCCAGACCCGAGGGGGGCGGCAGCGCCAAGGAATCACTGCAATCGGGTGACCAGCGCTGCCCAGGGCTCTGACCCGTTCTGCCGCAGACCCCCTGCGGCGGCCCGGGTGTCCAACTCGACCTGAGCCAGGGGCGCGGGACCGGGGACTCGTAGCTGGGACAGAGACTCGGCTGGGCATGGGGGGTGGGGACAGGGCCGCGGTACCTCTGGAAAGGCAGCCGGGCAAATGTGGAGCCTTTGGACCCCGGGCTGGAGAAGTGGCTGCGTCCCTGAAGGGTAGGGAGCTCTAAGAATGGGCATAAAGCCCACAAGTGACAATGTGAAATCCGCGAATCAGGAAAAATAACGCACCCCTCTGAGACATGAGGTTCAGGCAGTGGGGACAGGGAAGAGGCCGCCTGAGGACCGCGCAGGCTGCCAAGCAGGTGAAAGCAGGCGACTCCCTGATTAGGGACCTGCTTGCTAAAGTTCGGATCTCCGCAGGGGTCAGGCTAGGCGAGCCCGGCGGATAGGAGAGATCTCTCCAGGGCATTTCATCTGTAGAATGGGTGCCCGCTCTCACGGGGAGTGTGGGGTGACGCTGCATAATGCTTAGCACTGAGACACACAGATTTACAAACTGCCAGAGTAAAAATATTAACCATGCCCCTACGTGCTGGTTGGTGCACGCTGGGAATCTCCGCTGAAAAGGCTGAGCAGGAGGCTCACCAGAAGTTCAAGACCAACTGGGTTACACGGTGAGTTTGACCCCAACCTGAACCACATAGGGAGACCAGGGCTCAAAACAAAAAAAGAAAGAAAGAAAGAAGGGCCTGGGGGTGTCGCTCAGTAGCATAAGCACCTGCCTGGCCAAGCATGAGGTCCTAAGCTTGATTCCCAGTGCCAAAAAAAATTAACAAGCCAGCCCAGTGTTGGTGAAGGTAAAAAAGCCACGGCGGGCATCGCGTGTCTGCACATCTTGCTGCAAATTAATCAGCAAATTTTCTATCAAGATTCAAGAATGCATTCTGCTCTTCGAGTAACTCCACATGGAGAAAGCGAACCCAAGAAAATGATCAGGTGTAATGAGGTTTTAAAAAGCCAGCCAAGGGCTGGGGATTTAGCTCAGTGGCATAAGTGCCTCCCTGGCAAGCATGAGGTCATGAGTTCAATCCCTAGTACCAAAAATAAAAATAAAAAGCCAGCCAGTTGTGCACAGAAACTTTTTATTTTTATACAGGGTCTCATTGTATAGTTCAGGCTGGCCTGGAACTTGAAGTGATCCTCCTGCCTCAGCCTCCTGAGTGCTGGGATCACAGGCTACCATGCCCAACCCAATGCTGGTATTCTTTAAAAAAAAATTCTTCAGCACTCAAGAGGTTGAGGCAAGAGGATCACAAGTTCAAAGCCAAATTTTAGAAAGAGCCCTCTCTCCAAAAAACCAAAAATAAAAAATTGGGGCTTGGAGATGGAGCTCAGAGACAGAGCACTTGTGCAATACACTTGAGACCCCAGGTTGGATCCCTAGCATGGGGGAGGGAGGGCACTTGCAAATTTCCAAACATGTTTTTTTTTTTTTTTTTCAGGTAAATTTCAGGTTTTCTCTGCCCCCCAAGCTCCATGACAATTTCGAGTCAGCTTGCATTCAGTGTGTTTCCGTGGAGGAAGAGCTGATATCGTTACCCTGAGGTCCCAGTCTGAGAATGAGGTCACTGTCCCCGATTCCTCAGGCCAGGAACCCTGCTCAACCTGCACCCCCATCTGCACAGTTCCCGCAGTGGCCCTGTCGCTGTTTCCCAGTACACTTTCCAAGCAGCTATTGATGGTGGCATCCTTGTTTTGTAACCTGCCACCTCCCCACCTCACAGTATTTCTGTCCTCAGTGTGCCATGTGCCTCGATGACAAAGCAGTGGCTGAGCTGTCCCCAGCTCGGCTCTCCACCTCACAGGTTGGCCTGGGGAAAGGGACTTACATGAATGAATAAATGAATGACTGAATGACTCCAGAATGTGATTTCCTGCCTGAGTCCTCGGACTGGGGTTCCTGGTAACTGCTCTTCCCTCCTCCACAGCTGCGTCCTTCCCCTGGAGCCCCAGACAGGCACCCAGCACGCCATGTGGACAGAGGCAGCAAAGTGGGTTCTGAGCTCCCAGGAACAGGCTGTGCTTCTGCGGCAGCTCGGAATCAGGCGAGAGGCAGAGAAAAACACAAGGCCATATGCTTATCACGTGGCCTGCTGTGCCTCTCGCCCACCTGCGCCTCTTCCTATAAATAAACAGGGTGAGGGAGACAGGACAGGGGTGCAGACAAGCAGCATGGGTACGGTGTCCTGGCCATCTCTGCTTTTGGGGGTGACCCCACACATCTTCCCTTGGAGCCCCGGTCTGGCCATCCTGCTGGGCAGGGCTGGCAGGCTGGCCCCATCCCTACCTCCTCAAGGTGTCCAGCCACGCCCCCTGCTTTTGTGCAAAGGCTGAAGAAGCAGCCGGAAGTGGTGGCCTAACCTGTAATCCTGGCACATCGGAAAGCAGAGACTCACAAGCTCAAACCCAGCCTGGGCAATGCAGTGACCTAGTAAGACTTTGTCTCCAAACTTTGAAAAGGGATGAGGATCAGTATGAGGCTCAGGGTGAGGGCTCCGGTTTAATGCTGCGTAGCCTTCCCCTCAAAAATAAAAGACGGAAGAAGCCACTTTGAACAGTATAAGGTGATGATTATAATTACACTAAGCATAGCTCTCATTAAGCACTGTTCCCATGCTTTACCTAAGGTAGTTTTTTGTTTATTTTTGTTGTTGTTTAATATTTTTGATACCAGGAATTGAACTTAGGACCTGGCACTTGGATAGGCAGGCGCTGCACTGCTGAGCTATAGTCCCAGTTACCTAAGGTTTTTTATTTCAGTACTGAGGATGGAACCAGGGGTCTCCTGAATGCTAGGCAACAGTTTTACCACTGAGCCACAACCCCAGCCTATACCTAAGTTGCTATATCACCGACTCCTGGCACGATTTTATAAGTAAGGCTTTATTAATCCCCCCTTTTACAGATAAAGAAACTGAGGCTCAAGGAGATTTAGTTTGCTCAAGGTCAGCAGGCTAGAAAGTGGTAGAGAAGCTGGGAGTCAGGGCACATGCTTATGATCCCAGCACTTAGGAGGCTGAGGCAGGAGGATCGTAAGTTCAAGGCCAGCCTGAACTATAAAGAGCAAGACCCTGTCTCAAACATTTTTGAGGTTAGGGATTTAGCTCAGTGGCTCAAGTGCTTGGCTGGTAAGTACAAGGTCCTGAGTTCGATCCCTAGTACCAAAACATAAAAAATTTAAAAAATTTTAAAAGGATGGAGAGGTAGCTCAGGGGTAAAACACTTGCCAAGCATGCTCAAGGCCCTGGGTTCAATCCCCAATACTGCAAAAATCAATCACATAGATTTCAAGAGCTGATACAGTGGAAGATGTAAATGTGGACACTCTGAGTCACACTGATCTCCAATCACATCTTGACTCTATCACTTGCCTGTGCCTCAGTTTCCTCATCTGTCAAAGTGAGCTAATAAAAATGCTCCCTTCTGATGGCTGAGAGAGAGTGCAAGTGGGATCTCACAGCTCAGTAACCTGAGCTGTGAGGGGAGGCCCAGAGTGTGTTCCTTTACTGACTGGCCTAGCACAGCCATTTTTGGAAGACCAGGAAACAGAAACAGTACTGCTGCATTGTGGAGAACTATGTAGCCATGAACAAGGAATGTGGTTTCTTATGTTAAACTAAATGATGTTTAAGATATATTGTTTCTAGAAAGCAAGTTTTAGATAATGTATAACAAAACTTCCCCAACACTGATGTACACAAGAATCTGCCAGTCCTTGGTTACTGTCACACAGGCTGTGACACAGCTAATCTTGACTGAGGCCCAGGAGTCTACATTTCTCACTCACTTCCCATGAGGCCCAGGCTGTTGGTCTGGTGTCAGCAATACAGTATTATAAGATATTTCATGTGATGCCACTTCTGAACAAACAGAGGAGAAGAAAACAAATACATATACAGGGAGAGGGAGAGGAAGCCAGCAAATGCAGGTAATGGTGATCTCTGGATGACTGAATTGACCTTTCAAACATTTGTATAAAGTCCGATTTTGCTGGACACCATGGCACAAGCATGAATCCCAGAACTCTAGAGGCTGAAGCAGAAAGATTGCAAGTTTGAGCCCAGCCTGGGCAACTTAGCCAGTTTTGTCTTTAAAAAAAAATAGATGAAAAGTTTGAAGAGCGCATGCATGTCACAGCTCCTTCCTTTTGCCTCCTAGAACTTCTGGAAGCAACACTGGTCACTAGCAGCTCTACCGGAGCCACCCGAGGAAATTCGGCCAGGGCTCTCACTCCTGACACGGTCTGATTCAGAAATACAGGCTTAACATGTGCTGCCAGTATTTCTGCCAGTGTGCAAAGGATATCAGCTTCATAAATTGGACTAAGTGATCTTCCTTTGCAGGATTATCCAGGACATCCCCTCAGTGAAAGAGACAGTGCAAATTCTTTGTACATAAAGTAAAAAATTTATTTTCTTTTGTCTTTTTGAGACAGGGTCTCTTCATGCAGTTCAGGCTGGCCTTGAGCTCACTTTGTAGCCTAGAGCTGGTCTCAAACTCACAATGATCCTCCTGCCTCAGCCTCCTGAGTGCTGGGATTACAGGCATGAGCCACCACACCCGACTCAAAATAAAATTTTTTTTTAAAGCTTAAAAAAATTAAAATACTGGAGATATAGCTCAGTGGGAAGATCTTGGGTTAGATTTTCAGCATAATAAATAATTAAATAAATAAGGCCAAGAATGTAGCTCAGTTCAATCCCCAGTACTGCAATAAATAACCAATCTTGGGCCAGCAGTGGTACAGTGGTACAATGCCTGCCTGGCAAATGTGAGGTCATGAGTTCGATTCCCAGTACCAAATAAGTAAATCTGTTGTTTGCAAGTTTCACCACTGCAGTGAGAGAGGGGAATAAATGGGTGAAAAAGATTAAAAGCCCAGGTAATGGTGCCCGTCCAGGCAGGAAAAGCCCAGGTGAACTGCACCTCTGCCCCAGTTAACAGCACCCAGGCTCCCATCTCCGTCCTCTCTGGCCAGCAGAGCCCAGAACAGGCTGGCAGCTGCTCAGGGTGTGGGGTGTGGAGCTGGTGTCCCAGCTGGCTGGAGAGCTGCCATCACTGTGCCCTCCACTGAGACCTAACAAGGGCCTGCCAGGTGCCAGGCCAGGACCGCACCCTACACAGGCATTGCGAGCTGTCATTGTGCCCGTTGTCCAGGTGAGATAGGGGAGGCGAGATGATATGCAGGAACCCAGATTCGAGGACCCGGATGATAAGCTGGTTGAAGCCCCAGGCCAAGCTCCAAGGAGGCCTGCTACCAAGGGCCACTCGTTTCCCTCTGCAGGCCTGGAAGTCTCCCCCTGGACAAGGGCCGGTCCTTCACTTGCACCGCTCCTCTGCTCCACTGCCACCTTACCAGGTGCCCCTGTGCACCCTCCACTCCTAGCACCACACCCCCTCCCCACCCCTGCTTCCTGGCTCGTCACTGTCACATACATGGGGTCATACTTTTGGGTTGTCCTTTTTTTTGGGGGGGTGTCCTTTTTTTCCACTAAACAGAAGCCACATACAGGTAAGGACTTTGTCCAATCTGCTCCCTGCTTTAACACTGAGATTGCACTTGGCTCAAGAAACATGATTCACAGGATGAAATAAGAATAGTCCTGCCTGGCATGGTGGTGCACAACTGTAATCACAGTGCTCAGGAGGCTGAGGCAGGAGAACTGAGAGTTCGAGCTACATAGTGAGGTCAAGTCCAGTCTGAATTACATAAAGAGGCCCTGTCTGGGGGCAGGGAACAGTCTAAATTTGTAGGTCGCTTCTATGGCCCCTTCCTGTTTGCACCCAGGGAAGTGACCCCTCAAACAGTGTGGAGCGGCTGGCCTCCCCTTCTTAGTGCCTATTTGGGTTCCTCAAAGGCAGCGGCAGGAGGTTGGGCCTGGGACCCCCACCCCTTGTCCATGTGAGAAGGGTGAGTGCAGTAGCTTGCAGGAGACCCAGATTTGAATCCCATCCTGATGGGCTGAGGCCAAGACTGCCACTCTGTGTAGGACAAGAACTCCCCACTCTCCCAAGAAGGGCCTTTCATGTGTCAGGACCTTTGCACTCGCTTTTCCTTCTGCCTGGCACAGGTAACCTGATCTGCCTGTGGCTGCCTGCTCACCTTGGTTGGTTCGGTTCAGTTTGGCTTGTTTGGTTGATTTTGGTTGATCTTGGTTTTTTTATAGAGGGTCTCACTACAGTAGCTCAAACTCTCAGCGATCCTCCAAGTGCTGAACTATAGGTGTGGGCCACCTAGTAAGACTCCTAGTCTCACTTCTTCAGAGAACACCCTCAGATGAAGTGGACTTTTCACACCCACAAATGCCTCTCCCGATTTCTTTTTTCCAGCGCTCCCACTAGAAACTCTTCTGGCACTCCTGCTTCATTTAGCTGCGCTCTCCTTTGCTGTCTATCCCGCAAGCGATGAGCTCTCCCGGGGCGAGATCCTAGTTGTCCGCCTCAGAGCTGGGCCCCCCACCCCTAAGCCGAGGACAGACCCTGGCTCATCTGGCTGCTCAGTGAATGTATGTTGAATCATATTCTATCTTCTCTTTCTAGAAACAGGGAAACTGAAGCCCAAAGGCAGGAAAGGATATGTTAGACATCGGTGTTAGAACCCACAGGAGGCAGCAAGATCAAGAGGAGACTTAGGAGACTGTGACCTTGGAGCAGTTCCATCTTCTCTCTGGGCCTCAGTCTCCCCACCTGTAAAGTAGAGCAAAGCAGCTATAACCACCATCGAAGATGCTACTGCTAGGTATGATACTTCATTTATCGCCAGAAATCATATCTCTGAGCCAGCATCCTCGCCCCACTAGACCCTGGGGAAGCACCCCGAAAGCTGCAGGAGAAAACTACAAAACCCATGATGCCCCGGGAAGCGCCTGCGCACAGAGGCCATTTCTCAGGGCCGCGCGCGCCTTCTAGCGGTGGCCGGGCGCGGCGCTCCGCTCGCATCCCGGAGGGGCGGAGGGACCCGCGGCGCACGCAGTCGGGGCGCGCGGCTGCAGCGGCGGAGCCGGAGCCGGGAGCCTGAGGAGCGGGAGCGGCGTCCAGATCGCAGCCCGCGGGGCCCGCCGCAGCCATGGGCAACCGCGGCATGGAGGATCTCATCCCGCTAGTCAACCGGCTGCAGGATGCCTTCTCCGCCATCGGCCAGAACGCAGACCTCGACCTGCCGCAGATCGCCGTGGTGGGCGGCCAGAGCGCCGGCAAGAGCTCGGTGCTCGAGAATTTCGTAGGCAGGTAAGGCGCGTACCGGAGCCGGACCCCAGCCCCAGCCCCCGCCCCGGCCCCCGCCCCGCGCGCCGCGCCCCGCCCCCACCGCCAGGCGCCCCGGGGGCGGCAGCGCCCCCGCCCCCCGCATCACGCCTCCTCCGCCGCAGCATCCCTCGGCGACGGCAGCGCGGACCCGGGACCCCGCCGAGGGTGACCCCCGCCCCGGCACACGCGCCAGGGCCCGCGTTACTCAGTGCCTGCCCAGGGCTCGGGCGCCACTGGCCCGGGGTCCCGCTCCCACCGAGGCTCTGCCCCTGCCCCGGGAGTCCCCGCGCCGTGACAGGGGAACCTCAGCCCGGCCGCCGCCGCAGGACCTGCCCGGCGGGCTAGGAGCACGGCGCGGTGCCCCCCGCGCTCACGCGCACCTCTGCGGCTCGGGCGCCATCCGTGCGCAGCGCGGCGAGGGGGAGGCGCGCGCTGCGGTGGGGACGCGGTGGGGGGGCGAGGCCGCTCCTGATCCGGCTCTGAGCCGCGGCCCGGGTGGGGGGCGCCCTCAGTGTCCCCTCCCCCTTGGCCTGGCGGAGGGATTGTGATGAGGGAGAAGGCGGTGGAGGGCAAAGATGACTAAGGCGGGGTGGCGGGGTGTCGGGGTGGCGGGAGGGGGAGCCATCTGCAGAATCTAATCCCCCTCCCGCCTCTGATCCCACAAGGCGCCGAGGGCCAGGTGGCAGGGTGGGGAGCTGCAAAAAGACAAAGAGTCCTGGGTTTAGGGGAGCAGGAGAGTAACCCCAACCCCCCCAAAAAAGAAGGGGTGCAGAGATGGAAAGGACCAGAGCAGGATCTCCGGCTGCGCGGACCAGGAGGAGGACAGAGAGTTCTACTGACCTCCACCCTGTCACCTCCCCTCACCTCTCCAGAAACCCTGGCTTCCTGTCATGACCTTCAGGCCTAAGGACGTGACCACCATATGGCAAAGGAGGCCGGGGTCCCTCCTGCAGAGGGACAGTAGTTCTGTGGGGTCATATCCTTTCAGATTCTACTGTGAAACCGCAGTCTCTTGTCTCCAGCCTCAGTTTCAACATATCTGATAAGGACAGTTGGACTGGGGCTTTGTTGGGACCCTCACATGTTCTGGGAAGCCTGCTGCCAGCTCTAGTGGAGAGAGGAGAGACATTGGGAAGACACCGTAGGGGCAACCGGCCCATCTGGTCAGCACAGAGGGAGGGCAGTGTCCTTCAGGATGGCTTCTCAGAACCCCGTCTGCGTCATGTGACCTCCAAAGCTGCAGGGGCCCAAGCTTCAGGGTTAGAGCTGGAGGGGACCCTGAAGACCACGGTGCTTTGCAGTGTGTAACCCTCCTTCCTGTCTTCAGGCATTAGACATTTGGGAAGGGCACGTGGGGATTGGGGACGTCAGCTCCTGTCCCTTCCCATGCCCCCACACCTGGCTGGTCCTTCAGACATTCATAGCAGCCCGCAGGAGGCAGGCATGGTGATGCCCACCCTACAGATGGGGAAACTGAGACCCAGAGGTCAGCTACATGCCTTGCCCAAGGTCACTCATGCGCAGAGGAGCTTGTGTCAGACTGCAGAGCTTGGCCTCTCCAACCCTTTTAGCCTCTTGAGAGCCAGGTCTTGTACGAGATGCGGGGATGTGCAGGTGTGTGGACCACCATGTGCCCATTGGAGAGATGAGAACCCAGAGAACTGCTGGCTTTCCTTCCTGAGGGCTCCAGTGCGTTCAGGGGTGCCAAGACTTTTTTTGTCTTTTGAGGGTTGGTTTATTTATTTACTTATTTATTGGTACTGGGAATCAAACTCGTGACCTCTTGCTTGCCAGACAGGCATTTGTGCCACAGAGCTAAATCCCCAGCCCACGTCTTTTATTCGTTTGCTTGATTTTTGAAACAGGGTCTTACTTTGTAGTTCAGGCCAGCCTTGAACTCACTGTGCAGCCTGGATGACCTCAAATTCTGAGCAATCCTCCTGCCTCAGCCTCCTGAGTGCTGGGGTGACAGGTATGCACCATCACACCTCGCACTCCTTTCTTCTCCACAGGGGAAGAAGGCATCGGTAGTCACCAGCTTGTCAGCCTATATGTACCCAGCATATTCTTTTGGAGCAGGCCAGCCCCAGCCACGGCAGATTTTGGCAACTGCTTGTCTAGGGCTGATCCCTGCACCCTGGTGCCCTTGGCCAAGGTCCCTGCAGGAGGAATAGCAGGTTGTCCAAAGGGAGGCCCAGGGCAGGGAGCAGGTCTCTGTCTGAGTGGAAAGCACTGTCCATTTCCTGGAAGCTGGAAAGGAAGCCAGAGCTAGAGCACAGGCAGGGAAACTGAGGCTCAAGTCCCCCAGCCAGCCCTATCAGCTGCTTCCTGGGTTCCCGACCTCTCCACCTAGTGCTGGTTCCCAGCCCCGTGGGCATGGCAACAGCATCACTGCTCCTGGGAGAGCTCTGCCCGCGTGGAGAAGAAGTGGAAAATACATCCAGGGAAAGCAGCAGCTCCAGGCCTGCTGGGATCCCAGGGGCCCAGGAGGACCCTGCAGTGGGCCCCACAGTGGAGGTGGCCTTAGGGCTGCCCAGGACCCTGCTAGGATTTATCAGGGTCTAATGCTCATTCTTACTCCCCTTTCTCAGAAGGGAAAACTGAGGCCCATTCATTCCATCATTTAGCAAACACTGAGGCAGAATCCCCTGTGTCTCTTGGGTTTGTATAGTGGAAAAGTTAAAGACTGTGCATTCTATAGGGAGCCACTAACACAGTTACAGGAGGTGGCCAACATCTGGAGAGAGCAGGAAGGCCCCTGAGCCGTGGGAGGTCGCCCTTAGCAAGCACTGCAAGGCTGGGGGAAGAAATAGCAAGTGTGGGGGCTGGGTGTTTAACTCAGCGGCATAAGCGCCTGCCTTGCAAGCAGGCAGTCGTGAGTTCGATCCCTGGTACCGATAAAAACGAAAAAGACCAAAAAAAAAAAAAAAGAAATAGCAAGTGCAAAGGCCCTGCGGCAAGAAAAGATCTGGTGCCCTTTGAGCACAGAAAGACTCTGCTGGGGTTGGTGTTTGCCCAGCAGGGAGAAGGAATGAAAGAGATGAGCAGGACCAGATTGCAAGGCCCTTTAGACCTCTTCGGGTGACTTGGGAGCAGCAGGAGGGTGGTGAGGAGACTGCTGCAGCGGGCATAGCAAGGTCGGGGGACCTTGAGTAGTTGGGTTCAGGATCTGTTGTGGGAGACGCTCCCACTGGCACCCGGCTGTGGAGGAAGAGCGGGTCTTTGATGCAAGTGCTGGGGTGAGGAGGAATCAGGCAGGGACAGGAGGGTGAGGATGTGTGTGTGCTCGTGTACGTGTGCGAGTGGGTGTGTGGTGCTGGGGTGGAAGCCTCGGTCTCACACGTGCCAGGCTGAGCGACCTCCCAGCACTGTTTTTTCCCCAAGCACTGGGGATTGAACATAAGAGCATCACACTGTGCTGTATCCTTTATGGTTATTTTTTAATTTGAGACAAAGTCTCTGGAAGTCACTTAAATTGCCCAGACCGGGCTCAGATTTACCACCCTCCTGCCTCAGCCTCCGCAGGGTTGGGATTACAGTATCTAATACGACACACAGCTCTCCAGCTCTCTTTTTATTGTTTTAGAGCAGGGCCTTGCAAAGTTGCCCACGCCGGGCTGGAACTTGGTGTCCTCCTGCCCCAGCCTCCCGACTCACTGGGGTGACACATGTGTACCCCGCACACACTGGTCTGGGAGTTTGGTTTTGAACATATTGAGCCGGAGGTGCCTGTTAGACTTCCATGTGGAGGTTTTGGGGAGTTTGGGAGGGAAAGCAGGCTAGAAATAGAAGTTTGGAAGCTGTTGAGTAGAGATGGGATTGAAACCCTAGCAAGCCCATGAGCTTGCCCTGGCGCGTGTGCAGACGGAGGCGTGTTCGTGGACCCCGGAACAGATGCCTGGTGCCCGAGCCCAAAGGGGACTTTTCGGCTCCCACTCTGTCCCTAGCTGATGAGCTGTGTCCCGCTCCCCATCACCCCCAGGCCAGGGAGACCGGGCAGTGGGAATGGCGGAGGCAGAGGTGACAGCCAGGGCACTGGGGCAGCCACACGCCTCCGCCTCCTACAGCAAGGCAACCTCCAACAGGTTCCTTTCACCCTGCCTGCTGCCACTTCCTCACCTGTGAAATGGGGACGGTGACTTCTAGTGTCTCCTGTGAGAGGGGGCAGCATCCAGGGGGCCAGCTGGGGTTGGGGAGGGGCCTGGGGTGAGGGCAGCATGGGACAGCTGGGGGCAGGGTCGGAGGTATCTGCCCACCCACACCCATCTGGGTCCTTGCCGACTACTGGTACCCAGGCCCCATCTCCTATCCGTCCTCCAAGGCCATGGCCTGGGTGCTGCATTTGGCCTTGGTGCTGTGTCTGGCCCAACTCTTCTCGGGGAGCCAGCCTGATCCCCGAACTAGGCTCTGTTCCTCCCCATGAACATGTCAGGGATACAGAATGGGTCCACTTCTCAGATTTGGAGACTGAGGCCGAAGAGGAGGAAGGATGATTGAGACATCCCCGGCAGGCCTGATTGGCCCGGACAGGTGGAAAGAAGTGACATTTCCTTGATGCTAGCTATGTGCCAGGCCCAGGGAATGGATGGGAGGGAGCCAGGGACATCTGTGCCCCAGGGGCTCACAGGGCAGACAGCAGCTAAATATCCAAAGGGTCAGGTTCAAGGAGCACAGTACTAGAAAGTGGAGCATTGTCTGAGGGTCAGAGAGGACCTGGAAGGCAGCATTAAGGTTAGACCTGAGCAAGGCTGGGACTTGGGCTGGGCATGGTGGGGCACATCTGTAATCCCAGAACTTGGGAGGCTGAGGCAGGAGGATCTCTGTGAGTTCAAGGCCAGCCTGAACTGCATCGTGAGACCTTGTCACTAAAAAACAGAAAAAGATTAGGACTTGGGCAAGCAACAGAGTAAACCCCCAGGCCAGCAGCAGCCGATGGGTTTGGGAAGGTCAAAGGGCACTGTGGCGGAGGGAGCAGCAGAGAC